AGGTCACCTTAAAACCAAAAAAAAAAAAACTAAAAAGAGTTTGGCAGAGCAATAAAATTGATAAAATATACACCACAAGACAATTACCAGAGTTATGAAACTGATGACTATATACTACAAGACAATTACCAAGATTATGAAACTGATAACTATATATCAAAATTAAACTTGAAGGAAGAAATAATATTTACTAGTTTCAACTATTATAGAGAATCATCAATTAGTAAGCAAAAAAAATATTCAAAAAAAAAAAAAAAAATAGCAGCACCACTTTCAGTTTCATGTTCTCAGATACGAAAACAACCATCTGATTCTTTTTGTAAATGTAATTTAAAAGCAGTATTGGGAACACAAAATGCATTTGATTTAATAAATACATATAAAAAACAAAACAAGGATTTCTGAATATGATAAGATTGATTTATCTTCTAAATGTTAAAAAGTTAACGCACAAGATGAATCAGTTAAACAACTAAGCAATGCTTTCAAAAGCTCAAAAGTATCTAAATTTGGTGGATTTTTACTTCGTAGACTAGTTTGGAAGTGGTTTGAAGAAATATATATTAATAGGATTTGGCATGGTCTGTATAATATTGAAATAGCAAATAAAGAGCCCTGTGGCACTAAAGTAAAGACCAGCAATTTGACAACAGCCCTATAAAAACACTTTAGAACAAGCTTTTTTTAATTAGTGCAATCAAAATCTTAGTTATATAAAGCTTAACTTATTTTTTTTACTGTAGTTAAACAAAAAGCAGACAATCATTACAAAGGTATTTGAAACTTCCTTATCAAAGCCGCATAATATAACTGAACAGGCTATTTATAACAGAGCTATTATTGAGATTGTTATTTCTCAAAATCTTTCATTTTCATTTACCAAAGATAAAATATTTAAGTGATTTGTGAAAATTGTGAATTTACATTAGGCTGTGCCAAGTAGAGGAAAGGTTAAGAGTTTGATTAATGAGGGATTTGAACTAACCTGTTCTCATCTGTGAGATGACATATGCAAAGCTGAAACTGTGTTATTATCTATGGATTTATAGACAGCATATTCATGTGATGGTTATTTAGATATAACAGTAATATAGATTAATGAAATGTTCGAACTAAATAAAGCTGTTTTAGCTGTTACTTCCCTTAAATATCTGCATACTACTAATGCAATTGTAAAATGCATTGAAGATATTCTTGAACATTAGATAAGGTTGCCTGCTGTAATAGGTTCAGTGAAGTTGGAAGGTTGCAACCTTTTATTCTAAAGTTGTAATTTTTTGCTGTAATGGATGTAATGGTCGTAATAGGTGTAATGGTTGTAATAGGTGTAATGGTTGTAATAGATGTGATGGCTGTAATAGGCGTAATTTCTATAAGCAGGATTAATTGCTTATA